CTTTCAGTAAAATTAAAAATGTAAATACAAAACTATCTCTAAAGTCTTTAGAGAATCTTATTTGTTGATATATATAATATGGATACAAGCTTTAATCATAAAATAGTAACCCTATTATTTTAACTCTGAGCTCAAGTAAACAAACAAAATGGTAGATACTGTTTCATAATTTAAAAAAATAGTTATAGAGTATATGGGCAAAAATATTATAGAGAAACTAATTATGTTCAAGAAACTTATTGACAAATCATTATAAATAAAATATGTACATCTACACATAGACCATATCTTGTCACAAGTGAAACAACTTCTTTCACAGGAAAAGAAAATTTTCTTGTTTTTAGAAATTAATTTTTCTGCCCTAACTTTATTCTCAGTTCAAAAACATATATTAGAGAGTGTTATTGCTTAAATTGTGTCATTTCCCAAAATATGTTCAAAAACTAATTCTTGACACTTGCATGTTAACTTGTTTGCAAATAGGATCTTTATAGATGTAATCAAGTTGAGGTCATACTGAATTACGGTGGGCTCTAATCTGACTGTGTCCTTATAGAGAAGAGCAGAAAAAACATAGGAACCCAGGGAGAAAACCATGTAATGAGGGAGGCAGAGACTGAAATAATGAGTTTATAAACCAAGGAATGCTAAGGATTGCCAGGAAACAACAGAAGCAAAGAGAAAGGAATATAACAGATTCTTCACTAAAGCCCTCAAAAGAGCACAGCCCTGCAGACAACTTGATTTTGGACTTTCAGGCTTCAAGAATTGTGAAAGAGTAATTCTTTAAAATTTGAGCCATTCAGTTTGTAGTAACTTGTTACAGCACACTTAAAAAAGTAATATAAAGGCCCAAACTACTGTTTACTTCTATTTTTCTAGCGTAAATATCAGTTTCTCAGACTAAGCATCAGCGCATACATAAAATATACTAAAAATCTTTTTTTTTTTGAAGAAGAAAATTCTTCAAATCATTCTACCTTGCACACGGATTATTTCTCCAAATAATAGTGGCAGATACAAAGTTAAAATTTTAGAACAGGCAGTGAGTCCAAGTAATTACTTGCAAAATTTGGAATGTAGATTCAAAGATGCAAAGGTCAACAATCATTTTTTTTAACAACTACATTTTTAAATAGTGAATTTTTTTTAGGGTCTTTTTTTTTTTAATTTATTGAAATTTTGTTAGTTAACATACAGTGTAATATTGGTTTCTGGAGTAGAATTCGGTGATTCATCACTTACACATAACAAGTGCCCTCTTTAAAAAAGGAAAGAAAACAGATAAACATACAGAAAAGGGTAAAGGAAAAAAAGGAAAGAGGGAACGAGCCACAACTGACTTTTTTTTTTTTTTTTTTAAGATTTTATTTACTTGGGGTGCCTGGGTGGCTCAGTGGGTTAAAGCCTCTGCCTTCGGCTTGGGTCATGATCCCAGGGTCCTGGGATCAAGCCCCACATTGGGCTCTCTGCTCAGCAGGGAGCCTGCTTCCAGCCCCCCTCTGCCTGTCTCTCTGCCTACTTGTGATCTGTCTGTCAAATAAATAAATAAAATCTTAAAAAAAAAGATTTTATTTACTTAATTGAGATAGAGAGAGCAGGAGTAGGGGGAGGGAAGGGGCAGAGGGAGAGGGAAAAGCAGACTCCCTGTGGAGCAGAGCCTGACATAAGGCTTGATCCTAGAATTTCGGGATCATGACCTGTACCAAAGGCAGACACTTAACTGACTGAGCCAACCAGGTGCTCCCACCTGTTTTCTTTCTTAAACTCCACATATGAGTGAGATCATATGGTATTTTTCTTTCTCTGACCTACTTATTCCACTTAGCATAATATACTCTAGCTCTACCACATGATTGCAAATGGGAAGATTTCATTTTTTCTGATGGCTGAATAATATTTCACTGTGATGTATGTAAATATATATATACCACAACTTCTTCATCCATTCAGTTGATGGACATTTGGGCTTTCTCCATAGTTTGGCTACTATTGATAATGCTGCTATCAACATCAGGGTGCGTGTTCCCCTTTGAATCTAAACAGTCATTTTTTTTTATAAATTGTATTTTCATATGTTTAAACACAAACTGCCTGTTGGGAAAATGCAATGAAATAAATTTAGTAGCAATATGACAACATGATGATGTAAAAGAAATTTGGCATAAGTATAACAGACAAATTCATTATTTCTTTAGAAAGAGTTGAGCCTGCCATAAGGGAACCCGTTTTCAATAATTTTGCAAAAAGTAGAATAACAATATCACCTATTTATTGAATTATGAACTATGTAAGTGCTAAATACCTAGGATATTTACTTATATCATCTATCCCATTTAATCCTTGATATTATATTATTATTAGCATCTACATTTTAAAGATGTACAAACTGGAGGTCAAAGGGAATCAGTAATTTGTCTAAGGTCACACAAATGGAAGGTGTGGCAGTGTTGTGGTTGATTAGTCAGTCTTAATATGTTCTTTGAATTTGTGTTCTTATATAGCAGACTTATAAGCCATACTTGGTATGTTCTACATGCCTTTCAAAGTACTACAAGTTTTTATGACTATAATATTCCAATTAGCCTTAAAATATGGGAAATAAGTGAAATAGCACTTTTGTGAAAATTATAAATATCTGTGGCTTATTAATGAACTGGTCATAAGCAGAATGGAATTCAAAGAGAACAAAGGGCTGGTTCTTAATATAATGTGGAAGAAATATAAATTAGAACTATCTGATATAAGACGTATTGCTGCGGTTAAAGAATAACTTAAGATCAAAATAGGATATGAAATGGGAATGAGTTAAAAAATATTAGAGAAAAATGTGATAAAATTGGTTGTATATGGAGAAGCAGTACATATAGAAATTATTTCTACTAATTTAGCAATGGTCAATTTAAAGCATTTTTAAAAGATTTATTTTGGAAAGAGAGCACACAAGTGGGAGGAAAGGCAGAGGAAGAGGGAGAGAGAGATTCTCCAACAGACTCCCCATTGAGTGCAAAGCCCCCCACGGGGCTTAAAGCCACAATCCAGAGATTATGACCTGAGAAATCAAGAGCTGGACACTCAACTGACTGAGCCACCCAGGTGCCCCATTAAAAATTTTCTTAAAATAGTTAAGTTGATCATATCAAACTAAGAAAAGATTTAAATTATGATTAAAGTACAAGAAAACCTGTTTTAGAGAGGATTACTAAAACTGCGCAAAGGGTTATTAGAAACAACTTCCTACTCCTGAGAGCTGTTATACTAGATCAGTTTGCTGAAGGAAGTAGTGGAAACTAGTTTTTTAAAGATCCTTAGGAACAGAAGGCATACATTACTAGCAGCTCAGAAAGGGTTAGGTGTGTCTCTGCCAGAAGGCAGCCGGTGGATAACCACCCTTCGTTCTACAAAGCCCAGTGACTGCATAATAATGCTATTCTTATAACTATGAGGCAAGGGCAACACAGCTGCTTTTTCCTTTCTTTGGTGATCAGGATTTGCTGTCCAAAAAGTTGAAGAATAATTTGAATGTAATTAGATGAAATTTTCCCCAACAGAAAAGCAAGAATTAATTTTGACTCTAGTTACTGAAAGAAAACTCAGAAGCTGTACACTGGGCTTTTTAAACATTTATGTCCTCCTTTACTTAGAAACCATTCCTCTATGTACAACTTAAAAAGCAGACTCGTCTGCGAGATGACCTTCGGCCTACGAGTTGAATTACTACTAAATAAAAAATTCTGAGCATATCTACAGTTTCTTTGTATAAAATCTTTTGAAAAATTCAATTTTAATGCATTCTACTTAAATTTTTATGAGTTTATTTTTATTTCATTTTATATTCATCTACTTAAGTCTTTATATTTCATGAAGATGGAGAAGGCAGATTCCTTATAGTTAAATTTTTTTCTTTAAAATACAGTGAATTTCAGGGCACCTGGGAGGTTCAGTGGGTTAAAGCCTCTGCCTTCGGCTCAGGTCATGATCCCAGGGTCCTGGGATCGAGCCCCACATCAGGCTCTCTTCTCAGCAGGGAGCCTGCTTCCTCCTCTCTCTCTGCCTGCCTCTCTGCCTACTTGTGATCTCTCTCTATGTCAAATAAATAAATAAAATCTTAAAAAAAAAAAAGAGAGAGAAAGAAAATGATCATTTCTTAAAAAAAAAAACAAAAACAAAACAGTGAATTTCTTTCCAAGCAAACTTTCCCTTTAACTGGTAATATAATTAATTTCAATTTTGAAGAGGGCACTGTGGTCCACATCCTTGGCTGACTCTTCTTCCAAGAGCAATAAGAGCTGCTGAGAAAGGAACTAAAAGTTCCATGAGTTCTTTTGATGCAGGTTTCTTACAAAATATAAAGCTGTGAGGAATGTAAAGGGATTACTTCCCAAGATTTTGGAACACTTCAGAATAGTTGTTAAAAATAAGTGAGAAACAAATGCTGGAATTAAACAAAAAAATTTCATAAATGGTGTGGATATAAATAGAAAAGAATTCTAACCTCTGAAACTATTTAGTATTTGTAGTTAGATGATTATGTGTCCAAGATGGATACAAATGGCAGTGTTTTCAAACATGGCTACTTAATTTCTGTTATTAAATTTTTATTTTATATTTAGGGATTTAATGCAGCTCTATACTATGAAATACAATATACAGAGACCTTAGTGTAGTTTTTGACAGGCAAAAATGCTCAGGAAAAAAGCAAAGTAAGAAAGAAATAGCTTAGCTATAGAGAAATAACTATATTAGCTATGCATAATATATAAAGTTTTTATGCTAAAGAACACTTTTTCTTCATTAAAATGCAAGATAATACTACCTGTTTCTACATACTAAACAACAGAAAACTCATAATATAAATATTTCATTGCTTGCCTCCAAGAAATTGTTGACATCCTCTGTGGCCATCTGCCAAGGTGGTCACTTTGTGTGTGATGGAATTAAAGAAGTATCAAGGTTCTGTGGATTGATGAAAGAAAATATTCTGTGCTCTTGCCTTCTGGTATTTATTTCCTTGGTCCTGTTAAAAAGGAAAGAAGAGTGAACTTACTAATTCTGAACAGATAGCCAGTTATTCTGTATTTCCTTAGAGTCACATTTAAGGACATTTTGAGATTTTTACGAGTTCTCATTAAGAATCATAGAATTTTAGCCTTACACAAAAGACTTGCTAGATTCATGAATGCAAGTAAGAAAAAGCTATGTCAATCAGAGGATTCAATCCCCACACTTTGCAGTACAGGAAACTGAAATCTAGAGAGGTTAAACAACTCAACCAAAGTTACAATTAGTGGCAGAGCTAGCATGAGAAAACAGTTCTTATTACTCCCAGTTCAGGCTTTTTCTTCTGGTTGTATCTCAGCAGGTACAAGAATCTTTTTTTTTTTTTTTTTAAACTTATGTCTTTTGAGAGAGAGAAAGAGAGAATGAACAGAGGGAGGGGCAGTGGGAGAGAATCTTTCATGCAGACTTCCTGCCAACTGAGGAGACTGACAGAGGGCTGAATCCTACAACCCATGAGTTCAGGACCTGAGTCAAAACCAAGAGTTGTATGTTTAACCAACTGAACCACCCAGGAGCCCCAAGAGAAGAATCTTTGGAAGAGGAAGGGAGACTGGGAAAAGCTAACTTCCCAGCCTCAATGCTTAAGGAAAATTCTAGAAACAACTAAAACCACAATAGTTTAATAATATTTAGATTAATTCATAGCACAGGACTTGTTCAAATAAATATTTTATTAAAGTATGACTAAGATATAGTTTTATTAATAAACTAAAATTTTACCATTAAATTTCTGAATTTCACCCAGAGCCATGATCATTTATTTTTCCAAATCCTTATTACTACAACAATCTATCATACATAGCAAAAGCGGTATTTTTATTAGAGTAAAACTAGATTATAGACTGCTTTGCTCAAAATTCTCCAAAGTTCTCCCATAACTGTTAGGATAAAGTCTTACCCTACATTACATGATTGGGCCCCTGTTTACCTGTCAGTCTATCTTACCACTCTCCCCTTGTTTGGTATTCTATAGCCTTAGTGCCTTCTTGTTCTTCCTTGAATATGCTAAGCACACTTTTGGTTTATGTCTTTGACCTTGGTCTTCCCTCAGACTGAAACTCTTTCCCCCAGATAGCCACATGTTTATTCCCAATAACCAAAACTCTCTTTCTTTTCCCTTGAAAGCTCCATAGCCTGTTTCAAGAATCTGCTCTAAAGTCACTTCCCAGAGAGGCTTTCTCTTACTATCTAGCCATGCAACTTCCACACTCAATCCTCCTTCTCAATGGCCCCTTTCTTTATACACATACTGGCTTTATTTTCATTCATGGTATTTATAATTTCTAAATGTTATAGAGTCCAACACAATCCTTATAGGAACCAGATGTGTTTGGAAATATTTGCATTTTTAAAGATAGTATGGTACATGTACTGTAATTATGTAACACATTCCTCTTCCCTCTGTATCTGAAAGGTCTAGTTGGTTAACACGTCTACAGGAAAACATGTATTTCTTCTAAGTGGGATTTTTAGAAAAGGCAATAAATAGTCTCATATCACTTTTACTACTAAACAAATTAAGATTAGGTCAGCTTTTACCACGATATGAATTATAAACACTTTCAACTTCAGAGCTTTTTGATTTTGGAATTGCACAGAAGAGATTACTGAATATCCTATAATATTCTACAAATTAGTTTGTTGATTGCCCATCTCTCCTGTACACACAAGGAGATTGCCTGTCTCCATCACACAGAAAGGAATGATCACCTAGTATGCTCATCAGATCAAGGATTTTTTTTTTTTCTGCTGTATGCCCAGTGCCTAATAGATAAGTATTTGATCAATATTAGTTAAGTGGATAAATGAAGGCTTCTGTAAGGACCAGCTATTTTGGTTTTTTACATTGTAAGTAAACCCTACCCTGTAATATAGTTCTTTTCAACTGAAGGAATAGTAAGAAAGCATTTTAAAAGCTTAGAATTATTTCTTCTTTTAAGGTTCACCAGAAGAAAAAAATATAACAAATGGCATTTCAAGAAAACTACGGAAACAATACCTAGAGTATGTGATACAGTAAGAGTTTTCAGCTAGAAGTCCACAGATCTAGGTTGCTCTTCTTTGCATTCCTATTTTCTATTTAATTCCTTATCTATCATTCATCCATCCATCTTTATCTATTTAGCTCTTTCTCTTTCATTTGGGTATCTCACCATTCTTGGCCCAATGCATTATCTGTAAAACTAGAGGTTTGAATTCAATGGTCGTCAGCAGTTCTATGATTCTACTAACAGTTAAATAATTGAGGTAGTAATCACTGATTATCCCAGAATTGGCTGACCAGTCTGAAAGACACATAATCTTGCTCATCTAATCACAGTAACAGAAATACAGACTAGTTTTAAATTATATTTAGCATGTGTGTCCAATGCCAAGGAAATGACACGTCCCAAACATGTAATTTTATATATATATATATATGCATACACACACACACACAAACACGACACCAAACTTTTGTGTTTCTGCATAAGAATATGCCCAATAATACAAATATTTATTGACCATTTACTCTGTACCAGGCACTATTCTAAGGTCGTTACATATATTGAACTATAATAATTCTATTAGATAAGAATTAATTTTACCCATTAATGGGTAGTAATGGTAAAGTGGTAGATTGAATCACATCCTCTTTCCCTAGCACACCTCCATGGAAGGTATATGTTTATACCTCTGCTCTGTGACTTTGGGCTTGGGCTTGCTTTGACCAATGGGGTAACATAAGACATCATGCGGACAGCCGCATGAGATACGCTTGTGCAAGGGACGAGAAATATGCTTGTGCAATTGCACTTCTTCCCTTGTTATCTAGTTTTTCTTTTCTTTAAGTAGACTTCATGCCCTGTGCAGAGCCTAATGTTGGGCTTGAACTCACAGCCCTGACATCAACACTATCAGCTGAGATGAAGAGTCTGACGCTTACTGACTGAGCCACCCAGGTGCCTTCTTGTTTTTTACTCTAAGGAAAAAAAAATGCTTTAGTTAGCTCCAAGGCAAAGGAGAGATATTTGGCTCAGACTTAGATGCATTCTCCACTTGGATCCATGTCCACCTACTTCAACCTACCCACAGATTCCTGAGCAAAAACTAAAAGCTTATTGTGGTATGCCAGTGAGATTTTATGGTTTGTATTATAAACCATCAGCAAAAGCTCACTGATAAACTTTTTTACAGACAATAAAAATGAAGGGCAGAAACTGAGTGACTTATCTTTCACAGTTAGTTAAGTGATATGGGATATGAAGCCATCCAAGTCTGGCTCAAGGGCCACTCTCTTAACACCTATGCTACAGTGTCACTGCATTACATTGGCTGTATTATATGATATTAATCCATTTATTAACATAGTAGCAGGTGGTTTGGCATACATTAAAAATCATAATTACAAAGGTAGTCTAGCTATCAATAGACAAAGTTGTCTTGCAGTGAAATATTTCTTCCGAAAAAATTAGTAAGTATAAAATAAATGTACTATTTCCTAGAAGCAGATTAATAAGACTTTATATATCTTGAGGTGGCTTTCCAGTTCATCCTGCTACCATACAGTAACCTTCAGTGCTGGATATCTCCACTACACAATTCCACTCTTTGACCTTGGCTGATTAATTCAGGCATGTATCTATGATTCAAGCTCAATTACTTAGGTTTCTCTTCTGGAATTTTGAAATTTGGACCCATCACGGGGAGCCACCATCAATGGCCCTCCACTGGAAAAAGCTGAAATCTCCAGAGCTGCTCCTGTTACATTCTTTCCCGCCTGTCAATTCTATGATGGTATCTTCCCAGACAAATGTACTTTTTGAGTAAGCTTACTAAAACCTATTTTTCTTGTTGTAACCAAAAGAAATTTAACAAAGTAGATTAAAAAAAATCCACTGTTTTTATTATAATTTAAAAGTGCAAAGATTTCTTAAAGAAGAGACCTGATAAAGCCTGCATTTGTTTTACATTCTATCAAAGTAATTTTGTAATTTATAGTTATGGGTTGTATATTTCCTGAAAACTAGCTAGAAATCCTTCTGTATTTTGAGAGCCAGCATCCATGGACTGTCTGTGAATAGAATTACATTTCAGTAAAGTTGAATAAAGTCACTTTTTCTTTGCAATCCTATTTACTTTATGCATTTAAAAACATTTTGTTTATGACGAGCTTTTTATATTTCTTTTGATACAAAAAGCAAGTAAACATATGGGATTATCTTCATCACTAATTCAACTCAGAAACTATATATGAGACCCAAATATATTCTAGACATTGTTTTGGGTTCTGCGGATACAGCAAGGATAAAATGGTCTCTGCTCTCATAGAGTAGTGATAGGAAAGAGTATGTGGAATATAATTTGAAAATTTCATAGTACTATTAGTAATGAACCTGATAAATCTATACAGTAAAGCGATAAAAATAGCTTTAAAATGTGAGAGTATGGTGGCAAAATGCCTGAAGAAAATTTCTGTGCAATCCTTAATCTATTCCTAGACTGAAGAGGGATACATCAGCATAGGGAGCTCTGTCAGAAATCATATGTAAGAGTAAATAAAAAGCACAATCACCACCACAGTGGCATATTTACGTCACATTTTTACTTTACCAGTGATTTTCATATCTCAGTGATTTCATATATTACAATATGACCTCTTAATACTTCATTGAGATGAACAAGTGAGAAAATGGAGCCTCAGAAGTTTGAGAAACTTGACCACTTTGAGTAGTGGCAGAACAAGGGCTACTGTCTGTTTTTCAAGCCTCCTAGTTTTATTTCTGTTACATCACAATACATCATCTTTACAAAAGACAAAAAGACAATTAGTTTCACAAAAGGCAGGGGTGAGGATTTTTTATTTACTTCTATGAGATACTTATGGAGTGGGACTGAGAAGCAACATTATTGGAGTCACACAGAAACTGCTGGTGACAAATTGAGTATCTTCTGTCATCAGGCATATGCTCAAAT